CTTCAAAATAAGAGAAAATCATTATTCTTAGACGTTACTTGCGAATAGAAGGAACGGAGCACAAAGCACTACTCTACATAAGATACCTACCAACAACGGATATTACATTATCTTTTATTCCTATGCCCCCATAACCATGAAAGCGGGAAAGCTTTAAACATTTATCAGTACATTGACATAATCTGACAAAGCCACGTCAGTTGCGCCTTCAAACTCAAGCCACTAACCCAGTATCAGTAAAACTCCCCTTATCAACGGAATAAATGCGTCAAGTTTCGACTTTCCTACAGACAGTTTGCCAGCATTAGATAAAGCATCACTGTAAACCTTGTTTCGGATAGGAAACTGATCGTTTACACTTGTTAGTTCGGTCTAATTTATGTTAACTATGTACTAAGCACATATAAACGTATTCAGTTCAGTAAATTCTTTATGAATTTAGTATGCATCAATGCCTTATCCAACTTTAAACTGCCTCTGAAGATACACAATCGGTTTTAACATGAACAAATATGTAGTTAATTTAATACAGCACGCAAAGTTGCCCCAATCAGAAAGATGAGAACATTTATTTATGCTTATTATTACGCAAAGGAAAACTTTTGTGGATATAACCAGACAAGTTTTTCATTGTTCAGATATTCTGCCATTCATCAGCATTGTATGTTCGTTCAATAGATTTATTGAATTGGATAATGCTGTACCAACTTTCCGTAGTCATGAAAATCATTGAAAATCAAATCAGACTATCTTGACTGTTCCTGACTTCAATTCATACAGTAAACTGCACGTGCTTTCGAAAAAAATGGTACAATTTAAAATGTATACGCTCTGATGGATCGCTACGAGTCGAAAAAGGGAAAAGAACTTTTGAAGTTTCTAATAAACGTTTGAGACTTGCAATTCTCAGTATGTGGATTGGCGATGCAATCTCAAGCGTCATTCTAATGTGCTTTGAAGTCGTAATGATGAGTTGTCTTGTTTTGCGTCGGTCGTTCGGCTTATTTGTTTTTGCGACGTTTACCTGCAGATGTTTTCGGGCAGTTATAACGTTGAAAGTTTTGGCGGACGTCTTTCGCCCAGCAGAGGTGGCATTGTTGAGCGTATTGAAATGGTGGGGGGGCGTGAGCACGCAGTGCCTCGAGTTTCGATAGATGAAGAAAGGGATTTTCGAATTGTTGTTTCCTGATAGCCATCGCCACCTGCTCAAAGAGATGTTTTTGCTCCGACGCAGACGTCGGCGAAGTACTCTCTTTTATGTATACCCGTTATCAAGGGGAGAAACAACGACGTATAGAGGCAGTCGTCACGCATCCAGTCAGTTTCAAGGGTCGATATTCACCATCAAGAAGGTTGAAGACATGCCAAAGAGATTTCGTAATGATTTCTTTGTGGTTTCTGCGAATACTTTTACCCATATGCATTTAGCCACATCGTTTTACTCTTTGGTTGGCATATTTGGAACGTGCGAGATGGTGCTTATGTCGTTGCCTTAGTTGCTCAGTTTAGAGGCTTATGATAAGTTTTGAAATAAGGTTATCACATAAGTAAGCCAGAATATATTCTGCAATACTGAGCCTTGTAATA